CGCAAACTGGCGCATACCATGAAATTGTGCGAAGGCCCTTCTGGTTGCAACTGCCACTTGTTTCTCCCACAGGAGTTAATCACCTCCTTTAAATCGGGTGGTTCCGGCTGGTACGGCTCGGGACGGGCATACTGGTAGTAGCCGGGAGCCGCTGACAGCGTACCGGTACAGTGGCTCATTCAGCCTGTGTTCTATCCCGGTTTTTAAAGCAACCGGTCAATTACGTGCGCATGAGCTCCGACAAGCAGCTGGTTGTCGCAGGGGCAGTGGGGTGCACGTGCGCAGCGCATGCACACGAAAAGATGTGTGGCCCTGTGAGTGCTGTACCGGCAGCGACTGATTCTAATGACCCCATAATCCCTTGCGGCTCGGAGTCTGGGCAAGTGAATGGAATTTACTGGCCCGATGCCCTTCCTGTTGCCAGTGCGGAGTTACATTCGGCAGCTATATTCTCATTGTGCCCTTAGAGAGAAATATCTGCCTCTACCGCGGATGGAACTCACAGCCTCTTAACTGTGAGGCAAAAGCTCCACCTCTCGGCCACCGCACCCCTCCAACGGGAGTTAATATTTTACGCAAATGTGAATTACTCCAGGAGGCAGGATGGTGTGTGTGTGTGTGTCTTGAGGAAGAGTACTATTTCTCTGGGATCTGCCCCTCAGGATCAACTGTCCTGCGGCGTCCTGAGGTCTCATCCTTGCGAGACAATCCAGAAGGAGGTGGAAGCTGCTGGCGCCCCAGATTGGTGGGAACTCAGGCGGAAGCCACGAAGGGAGGCCTCCCCGGATCGTGTCCCGATAGAAAGCATCCCGCCAGGCAGAAAAGCCTATTTGAGTTCCAGAGGCACCTCGGAATCCGGGCTAAAGCGGATCCCGTGGACAGGTTTAACCCTAGAGATGGTTCCCCACCGCGGTCCGGAGCGTCCTGGCCCAAAACTCTTGGAGACCAGATGGTAACTGTCCAATCTACGTGGATCTCGAAGGCTTCGTTGGGTTAGGAGATTAACGGCCGCAGGTTTGGCCTTTCCTCCAGACGAGGCTTCCTCAAGCGTGGCCGTTTGAAGAGAGAGCGCTGGACTTTTGACTCTCGGGAGTCTGGGCGTTGAAGTCCAGGCGTCTTAACCTGCCGTGGTTGAGGGACAACGGCGGCTGCACCAGGTGGACGTCAATCAGCAGGCCCGTTGTCTGAAGCTTTCTGCTCCTAATGGTGTAGAACCAATGAAGCTCCGGCTTCTTCCTGCTCCTCCCCCTCCTACTCCTCTTCTTCGTCCTCCTCCCTCCCTCCCCCTCCTCTTCTCCTCTTCCTCTCCTTCTCCTCCCCCTCCTCTTCTCTCTCTTCTTCCTCCCTCCCTCCCCCTCCTCTTCTCCTCTTCCTCTCCTTCTCCTCTTCCTCTTCTTCCTCCTCCTCCCCTCCTCTTCTTCCTCTTCCTCCTCCCTCTTCTCCTCTTCCTCTCCTCCTCTTTTCCTTTTCCTTCTCCTCCTCCTACTCTTCTTCTCCTCCTCCCCCTCTTCCTGCTCCTCCCACTCCTTCTCCTCTTCTTTTCTTCCTCTTCCTCCTCCCTCCCCTTCTCTTCTTCTCCTCTCCCTCTTCTTCCTCCTCCTCCTCTTTTCCTTTTCCTCCTCCTTCTCCCACTCTTCTTCTCCTCTTCCTCTCCTTCTCCTCCTCCCGCTCCTCTCCCTCTTCTTCTTCCTCTTCCTCGCCCCCTTCTCTTCTCTTCCTCTCCTTCTCCTCCTCCCGCTCCTCTCCCTCTTCTTCCTCCTCCTCTTTTCCTTTTCCTCCTCCTTCTCCCACTCTTCTTCTCCTCTCCTTCTCCTCCTCCTGCTCCTCTCCCTCTTCTTCCTCCTCCTCCCCTCCTCTTCTTCCTCTTCCTCCTCCCTCCTCTTCTCCTCTTCCTCTCCTTCTCCTTTTTTCCTTTTCCTTCTCCTCCTCCTACTCTTCTTCTCCTCCTCCCCCTCTTCCTGCTCCTCCCACTCCTTCTCCTCTTCTTTTCTTCCTCTTCCTCCTCCCTCCCCTTCTCTTCTTCTCCTCTCCCTCTTCTTCCTCCTCCTCCTCTTTTCCTTTTCCTCCTCCTTCTCCCACTCTTCTTCTCCTCTTCCTCTCCTTCTCCTCCTCCCGCTCCTCTCCCTCTTCTTCTTCCTCTTCCTCGCCCCCTTCTCTTCTCTTCCTCTCCTTCTCCTCCTCCCGCTCCTCTCCCTCTTCTTCCTCCTCCTCTTTTCCTTTTCCTCCTCCTTCTCCCACTCTTCTTCTCCTCTTCCTCTCCTTCTCCTCCTCCTGCTCCTCTCCCTCTTCTTCCTCCTCCTCCCCTCCTCTTCTTCCTCTTCCTCCTCCCTCCTCTTCTCCTCTTCCTCTCCTTCTCCTTTTTTCCTTTTCCTTCTCCTCCTCCTCCTCTTCTTCTTCTCCCCCTCTTCCTGCTCCTCCGCCTCCTTCTCTTCTTCTCTTCCTCTCCTTCTCCTCCTCCCCTCCTCCTCCTCTTCTTCCTCTTCCTCCTCCCCCCTCTTCTGCTCTTCCTCTCCTTCTCCCACTCCTCTCCCTCTTCTTCCTCCCCCTCCCCTTCCTACTCCTCTTCTTCCTCTTCCTCCCCCCCTTTTCTCCTCTTCCTCTCCTCCTCCTCCTCTCCCTCTTCCTCCTCCTCCTCCTCCTCTTTTCCTTTTCCTTCTCCTCCCACTCTTCTTCTTCTCTTCTTCCTCCTCTACTCCTTCTCCTCCCATTCCTCCTCTTCTTCTTCTTCCTCCCTTCCTTTAGGGGTTGTATAGCTGAAGGTCTACTCCTCGTAGCTTTATCCCCTGTTGTGAACCGTGGGAAGTTAGAAATCAGTGAGTTTGCAATCCCGTGACGAGTTCTCCTACTATTCTCATCCTCTCCCTCTCTCCTTGCAGGAGAAGTCCAAGCTGTGAATATCCTGGCCAGTGCTCCATCCAGCAGGAATCTGGACAAATTCCAGGTAAATCTATACAGGTCAAGCCTCTAGGGGGTGATGCTCACCTCCGTTTCTCGGTGGAGGGAACCGGCGTTCTTATTCCTTCTTCTTTCCTTCCTTCTTTATTTCTTCCTTCTTTATTTCTTCCTTTTTTATTCCTTCCCTCCCTTCTTTATTCCTTCATTCTTTCCATCCTTCTTTATTTTTTCCTTCCTTCCTTCTTTATTCCTTCCTTCTTTATTTCTTCTTTATTCCTTCATTCTTTCCTTCCTTCTTTATTTCTTCCTTTTTTATTTCTTCCTTTTTTATTCCTTTCCTCCCTTCTTTATTCCTTCATTCTTTCCTTCCTTCTTTTCTTCCTTTTTTATTCCTTTCCTCCCTTCTTTATTCCTTCATTCTTTCCTTCCTTCTTTTCTTCCTTTTTT